GTACGGGGCACACAATTGCAACTGAAATAGAAATGAAAATAATGAACACCAATCTTTTGCGTGGACACACCACAGGCAAATTGTAAGAGGATTTCATTAGCAAAATGATTACAACAAAAGGATTATAACATTCTTTCTATAATTAAGAAGAGTACAATTGGCAATACACCCTCTCTTATAATAGGAGAAAACTAACACACTTTCACTAATAAAAGGAAAGACAAATTTAGGAGAAACTTTATTTTTTCTCTCTAAAACTCTCTCTCTTTTCTTCCTCTCAACATGTGATTTTTCTTCTAGATTGGAATAGATAATTAGAAGAAGGAACCCATATATTTATAGAGGAGAATGGAGGTGAAAGAAAAGAGGTGGAGGTGGAGTTGGAGAATTTAAGTTGGAATTCTCTTTCTTCTTTAGAGAATTCAAATAGGAATTCTCTACTTTTACAGAATTCAAATAGGAATTATCTACCTTTGGAGAATTCAAGTAGGAATTCTCTTCTTTTCATCTTCAAGTTGTAATCTTTGACCAAGAGAAAAGTGGCTTTATCACCATATATCTCCTACTTAAAGTCACTTTTGTATTACTTTCTACATTTGCCATCTTCATTGCTGTTTACATTTCTGCTAGGCCAATAGAGGATCGACACTAAATAAATTTGTCGTTGTTGACTGGCTTTGTTAACATATCAGCTAAGTTGTCTTTAGTATGGATTTTCTGTATATCCACACTTCCTTCTTCCACCTTCTCACGAACAAAATGATACTGAACTCGAATGTGCTTTGTTTTTTGATGAAATGCTGGATTCTTTGCCAAGTGCAAAGCGCTCTGACTATCACAAAATAGAGCAATCTTCTCTTATTTGTGTCTGAGCTCTTCCATTAACATTTGAAACCAGATTGCCTCTTTGCTAGCTTGTGTAGTTGCCACGTATTCTGCCTCTGTTGTAGAAGTAGCCACAATAGACTGCAGTTTCGAAACCCAGCTTACAGCTCCTTCAATAAGAGTAAACATATATCTAGTGGTGGATTTGCTTTTGTCAAGATCACCTGCATAATCTGAATCAACATAGCCTCTGACAACAAAATCTAATCCTCCATAACATAATGCAGCATTTGAGGTTCCCTTGACATATCTCAGGATCCTCTTTATAGCACTCCAATGCTCTTTACCAGGATTTGCCATGTATCGACTAACCACTCGCACTGCTTGTGCAACGTCTGGTTTTTTACAGATCATAGCAAACATTAAGCTACCCACTGCTAATGTGTACGGTACTCGGGACATCTCCATCCTCTCTGCTTCATTGCTAGGACTCATACTTGAAGATAACTTGAAATCAATAGGAAGAGGGATAGGCTTACAATCTTGCATATTGAAGCGTCGTAAGATTTTGTTCAAATAGTTTTTCTGACTAAGCCAAATCTTCCTATTATTTCCATCTCGGCAAATTTGCATTCCTAGAATCTTGTATAGGACTCATACTTGAGGATAACTTGAAATTAAGAGGAAGAGGGGTAGAGATTGACTTACAATCTTGCATATGGAAGCGCCATAAGATTTTGTTCAAGTAGTTCTTCTGACTGAGCCAAACCTTCCTATTATTTTTGTCTTGATAAATTTGCATCTCTAGGAGAAACCTTATTTTTTCTGTCTAAAACTCTCTCTCTTTTCTTCCTGTCAACATGTGATTTTTCTTCTAGATTGGGATAGATAATTAACGTCAGTGATTTCATCTGGCCTATCTCCAATTGCCGACAAGCAGTTATCTTTTCTCAAAACTGCTTTTATTATCATTTCCACAATGAGAAATTACTCTCATTGACTTCTCTATGTCGTACTTCGTCGCCATTATTGAAGATGCCTCCTTTCTACTAACTGGATCTGACTGTAGCACGAAAAATCGACTATAAACCCAAAGCTCTGATACCACTGTTAGAGCGTTGTGGTATGGGGCACACAATTACAACTGAAGTAGAACTGAAAGATAATGAACACCAAAATTTTACATGGACAAACCACAGGCAAATTGTAGAAGGATTTCACTACAACAAAAGGATTACAACACTCTCTCTATAAATAAGGAGAGTACAATTGGCAATACACCCTCTCTTATAATAGGAGAAAACTAATATACTTTCACTAATAAAAGAAAAGACAAATTTAGGAGAAACCTTACTTTTTTTCCTCTCTAAAACTCTCTCTTTTCTTCCTCTCAACATGTGATTTTTCTTCTAGATTGGGATAGATAATTAGAAGAAGGAATCCATGTATTTATAGAGGAGAATGGAGGTGAAAGAAAGGAGATGGAGTTGGAGAATTTAAGTTGGAATTCTCTTTCTTCTTTAGAGAATTCAAATAGGAATTCTTTACCTTCGGAGAATTCAAGTAGAAATTCTCTTCATTTCATCTTCAAGTTGTAATCTTTGACCAAGAGAAAAGTGGCTTTATCACCACAGAATTGACATTTCATTTCCGTTTAGCTATTTTTCTATGAATATTAGACAAAGAAGGATGATATCAAATTTTCTTAGTATCTATTATTTCAGTCACTACTTCATAAACATTCTGCTCACAAACATCCAGGTCTGGGAAATTCAGAATAATCCTAGTAAACACAAATTTTGAATAGGAAAGTATAAGTTTACCATATTTCACGACAATCGTACCAATTTTATGGAGTTCATATTCACTAAGAACTCCAAGCTGTCCACCAATATGTATTAGCATCTTCTCGTCCCATTTGGAGTACCCCAGATATAGTAAACAACTCATTTCAAGGACAGGCACAATGATACTTAATCCAATTTTAGGACATCGACTCACTTTGGAAGATAAATTCAACACGAAGAGAACGTATTTGAAAGAGCAAAAAATAATAAGCAATTCGATGAAGAGACCACTAATTATTCACAAGGCAAGAGAAACAATCCAGCATTGCAAGCCCAAGGAGAAATTACTAATTATGAAGATTTCTTGCACACTTACCCTTTGGTACCATCAATAGGATCCAAAACCCAATGCTGACCATGAGGACCACCTTCAGATTTTCCACGGTCAATGGCATCGAGCACATCTTCCTCAGACAAGGGTGATATGTGATTCATTCCATTCCTAGCAAGAGTATCGTTTACAAGTTCCTTTATGCGCACTAGTGTTTCTCGGTTTTCTTCCCTGCGAAGGTCTTCTGAGTCCTAGAAATACTCAAACTTTATATCTCCCATTCAACAAGAAACAATAAATAACTTTTACACATTGGATGGGTAGCAATATGAAAATAAATCTACATATAGGAAAAGAAAATGAGGATAATTAGATTTTGCATAACCATTATAAAAACAAACTACAAGTTCAGATGCTACCTCCTCAGCCACTAAAGAAAATGGCATCGATGGAAACTCTTTCTCCAATATAAAGCTAACCAAAGCCTGTGAACCTAAGAAGTAGATGATCGTTTAGAATAAGAACATTTATTGTATATGCATGTGATGCAATATCTGGAGGACTAGCAGGTAAATGTTTTATCTTTGATTTTCTCCTAAGAGGTGAAGACTCAAAATATATTAACATGACTTTTTTCCACTTTCATTTCAACCCGCATCAAAAGGAAACATCAGCCAGTCGACGAAGAATTATCTTTCAGTATAATATGATGAACTCCAGGGCACCATTTTTCACTACAGTTCAAGTAGGATTCTCAAGAAACAATCCAGGGTCCAACTGAAAATTGTTTGAGTTGCTTATTAAAGGAAAAACAAAACCAAAAAACTTCTATTCGATCTTCACTCCATAGTCCAATTGAACTGCAATTTTTCCGTGCAACATATGTAACAAACCTTATGCGTTTTACATCATTTTATTTTCTGCATAAGCCACGTAAAATGGACAATACCTCTTCAACCAATTGTTATGCAATAATCTGTGCTTTGTAGAATAAAGTTATGCAAAATACTAATGAATGAATCTGACAGTGCAACAGCATACCATAATCAGCCACTGTGACAGGACTTTTATCGGATTTTGATTGGACATCTGATTGCAACAAAGCATTCTGCACCATCTGGAAAAGAAGCAGCAACCGATTTTAATTATACTTCATTGTGCAGAAATAAATAAACGCAGTTCTTGTTGAACCACGTCATCTAAAAGTTTAAGGACAAATTTATTTATTTAAATTGTCTTCAATGCGCCCCTCACATGTAGGTCAGATTCATTAGTTTATTAAAGGGCTGACACGTGCTAGATACAGAATTTTGCATAATCTTGTTCCATGTTGAATTCGCATATTCGTCCATAGGTCAAATTGGATATGTAATTATTGAAATAATTGTTTGAGACTCAAATGATGGATATGCAAGCAATGTCTAAAAGCTTAAGCTTTTATTATTTAGGCCTTCTGTGGGAGGGATTAAAATCGGATTAAAATTGAAAATATAGCTGTTATTGTTGGCTTTTATTAGACGAGTGGGACCCAATAACGGTCATATTTTCAATTTTAATTGGCTTTTAATCCCTCCCGAACGGGCGTTAAATTGTCTAACAATGCAAGAATCTTAAATAATCACTTGCTGACTCAATCAAAGAAATAAACGCCAGACTGAACTAAAAATATTGATATAATCAATAATTAGACTTGGAGTTCCATTTTGAAAGGTCATTCTTATTATCTCAATCTCGTACCACCGCAGGATGGTGGCTCCATTCTGAGCGGAAGAATCTTGAAATCTTTGTAATCGTTTTTTGAAACTTAATTGGATCAAATTGGAACCCTTATAAGTTGTTCCATGTTTTCATCTTCATTCATTCGACGAGGGATTTTATCCTTACCAATCAAGCATTTATTCTGTATGCTTCACATCATAGTTCAACAAAATCCATTATTTCTTTTTTCTCGGTTAATGCTTGAACACGTAAAAGTAACAATGTTCTCACATGGTCATTTCCAAAATTCACCACGGAAGCAATTTTCATCTGGGAATCGCTCAAATTTACAAAACCTTCTAAAATGTACAACAAACACACGGTTGGCCAAGAAATGCAGGAAAGAAGAAAACAGAGAAGATATAATCAAATTCAGTAATTAAAAGAACAATAACAATAACCTGACAAAGGCTGGCAGCGAGAAAGGCAGCTTTCTTGGCAGCAGCAAGTTGCTTATCGTAAGACATTGAAGCAGCGGCTGCTCTTCTTACTTGTTGCAGTGAAGTGGCGAGGGAGACAGAAAAGTATAGGTGGTTTCATTGTAGCCTGGGATTCGAGGAATTTATAGAGAAGACTCCTCTTGTTAATGGAGCCCGAACAGTCATCCATGTCCTCTCGTTTCTCTGTAAATTCCTGAGTGCGTGTGCGTGGGGAGAGGGGTCTAATATTTTTCCATTTTCTCGTAAAAGCATGTTTGCCGTGGGGAGAGGGGTCTAATATTTTTCCATTTCTTGTAAAAGCACGTTTGGCTATTCTTTTTTAATAACTTTTTTATTCATTTCTACATTGGCTATTCTAATATTTTTCCATATCAAAATGTATTAAAAATCTGATTTTTATCTCAACTCCTCTTTCTTTCTTTTTTTTTTTTTTCAATTTGAATTGATAAGAAATAGCCCTTATATTGACACTACAAATCTTATTTGTTACACTACTGTTTAATTGTAATATAATTTCTCAATCTTTGTTTATTAACGTACTTATAACCGTACATTTTTTAATCGCATTAATACCTCCAATATGTTCATTAATAAAAACATGAGATGAGGTGCAAATATTTCGTTGCATTTTTGTTTTTTGTTTTTGTGTTCATTTCAAAGGAATATACTCCTTGTACCGGCGGGGTGTACTACCCCCCCTACCGGCCCCTCACATAAGGGGGGGCCCTGTACTCCTTGTACCGGGGGGTTGTACACCCCCCGGTACGAATAGCACGTTTCTAAAAAGAATGTTAAAAAATTGAGGTAAAAGTCATCCATTAAAATCAAAGAGGTGAGACCCACTACTCATCTTCATCAAAATCAAAGTTCTAGCTATCCCAAACAAACACTTAAACTGCGAAGCAAGAAACGACTAATTATTACTTAATTATGAATCCTATTCTCCTTTAGTAAGTTAATTAGGGGGTTGTACACCCCCCGGTACGAATAGCACGTTTCCATTTCAAAATATGAGAGACAAGCAAATCTTTTAACGGTGTTCTAATAGAAGTTTTAGATGAAAACTATTAGGAAATAGTTTGAAAATTAATAAAAGATTGAGAATGAATGCAGTGAAATTTTTTTGAAGACACAAGTATTATAATGAGTACAAGTTAAAGGACATTTGGTGTTAAATAGTGACGTAACAACAAAAAATTTGCATTTTTTTTTCTAGCTTTGCTACGTGTACAATCGAGGTTGATAACCACTCACATGAAGGGGTGCACTTTCTTTCTTTTTTTTGCATTTTTTAAACATGCGGATCCCGCACACATGTGAGAGGTTGTCAACCTCGATTGTACAAGTAGAATTTTCCTTCTTTTTTTCGTATTCTTTGTCTTCACCTTTTTTATTTATTATTTAATTCAATCGAAAATATGGCTATAACTTCCTTTATAAGGATAAAAATAACTGGAAAAAAAAGGGATAGAACCGTCCAATGTGAATACTTTGTGCAGTAACAATGAAAGGTTGATAAAAATTTGTTCATTCTAATGTTCGTAAACAGGACGACGTTGCAATTTTTCCTTTCATAAAATAGGAAGAAAATATTATAAAATATAATATTGCAGGAATATAAACAGGTTTTTCCAATCTCCATTTTTTTCAACTTTTTTTTTTCTTTGATTCGCTGTGATTTGCTAGCTTTATCTCCTTTCATCCTCGTAAAGATTAGAAAAAGAAAAAGAAAAAGAAAAAACTCTAGTCTGAACAAAGGAAAGTTACAGAAAAAGTATGAACAAGAAAGGCACAAATAGTGAAGCAAGAAAAAGTTAGGGAGAAGGCAAATTCAATAGTGTTCTAAAATGTTTAATGCGTGATAATATGTTTCAATCGAGTATCAAATATTACAAGAATATACGTGCTTATACGAAACATTTACGTAATTATGTGTTTTTCAATTTTTAATATTATTTTAAATACACTAAATAAATAAATGCATTTTTTGAATTTTAAACATATTCTTCATTATATTGATCAAAATTATAAACACTACAATTACTTGAATTTTACACTTATTCTTCAAATTTCAATAGATTTATTGCTCAAAATCATAAATGCTATAATTAAATTAGATACAAACATCGGTTTAAAATTTTTTTAATCTTATCTAGATCTTTATCATGTTACAATTCAATCTCCTCTTTTCATCCAAATCACCTTCCATGTTATCAATTGCAAAATCACATTCATTGTACTCCCTTATTTCAACTAAAAAATTTATCTTACTAGATGGTAAAATATACAACCTCATTCTCATCATCACTATCATCAACAATTCAAGGAGGCTCGAGCTTGGTGTAGATAGTTTGCAACTCTACGAAAATTTTGCTTTGATTATTTTCTAAATGTCAAGATTCTTCAAATTGCTGTATATAATCTATGGGATTGGGTGATTTGGGTTAATTTGATATTTGTTGAGCTCAATTTGCTTTTTTAAATTATAAAAATGGGTTAGGCTTTGTAATGCTAATTTTGACACACTTTTAACACAAATACAATTGTATTTTGACGTTTAAGCATGCATATGCAGTCAACAAAATGGGTTGACTACATTATTGGGTAGATTGTATTATCTCGTGCATATTCCATATAAGAAGCGTTTAGAAAACGCATCAAGCAAGCACATGCAAAGCATATACGTACATTGAAGAACACTGGTCATACACAATGTGCAGCACGCAGTTGACTATAGCATATCGAGACTCGAGAGGTTACAATTACCATCCTAATAATATGATAATGACTTATGGAATATGGACCAGGCGCAATAAGAAAAAGATCCCATGATGTTTTTCATTAAGCCAATGTTAGCCATACACATAAATTGATTGAGAGATAATAGGAACTACACTAATGGTTAGACGGCATCCACTTTCAGTGATGGGTATTCGATGAAGCAACAAATATCCTAAAATATGTGATCATGAGAATTTACGTATAGAAGGTTCCCTTCTCGAAAATATTTGGATCGAATTATGACTTCAATCAAGATTTGAACTAGTCAATGTTGTCAATGGGAGAACATCATACACTTACCAGAAGAGACTCTTAGCCCTTGTTTGATTTAACTAAAAATCAAAATTTTAGTTTATTTTGATAAAAGTTGTGGTCGAGAAGTTAAGAAAAATTATGGATCCCGTAAAATGTGTTGTCAAAAAAGAGTTTTAGAAAATAGAGGCCAAACATGGACTTGATGACTTACACAAATAGAGTTTTGTTTCTGAGAACTTTTCAACCATAAATCTTTTTTTTTTCTTTTTTTAAATTCTACCTATATTTTTCATAGTTGGTCCCAAATTCAGGTGACTTGACAATCAACGTAAAGTTTTGTCAAATCTTGTTATCAGAGGCGGATCTAGGCACGGGCTGGCCTGTGCTACAGTCTCTGCCCAAGTCCATTTGTATCCTTGTTTTTTAGAGAAAATTACGTGTAATAACTACATTTATATAACTTTTCATATATTACATCCTTTTTTTTTTTTTTTAATTTCTATATGTACTGCATTTTTTAAAGTAAAATTTGAAACACAAAAGCAGCTCACACATTAAATGGATTATTTTGGATAGCCTATATCGATTCCCCAAACAAGCACCATCAACGGACACGTTAAGTCCCTGTTTGGCCCCCATTAAAATCTTAATACATTTTTTTCTCTCATCTTTTCAACCACATATTCTCTAATAAAATAATATTACACATAAATAAAAAAAAATTAATTTTTTTTAACCACACATTCTCCCAAATATTACTATTCCAAAATACATTATTTTCAAAACTTTCATTATAATGGAGGCCAAACAAGAGTCAAATGTCTAAATCAAGATTTTCCAGCCAATACCTCAGAAAATTTTAAATTACAAAGCAAACTTTCCCCAAATCAAATAATACAAAAAATCGAAAATCATTCCACAGATCACTCGCCTTCAACATACAAACCGTGAAATCCGTAGCCTCTATTTCAAGAAATGATTTTTACCATACTCTGTTGTTGATAATGGGGTGTATGTGATAAAGTATGCAGAATTACTTATGTATCAGGAGATAAATGTGATGGCGCTCACATTCGCAATTGGCGGTGCAACTCTACAAGCATGCATGGAAGAAGATTATTGAAGGTTATGAAACAGATTTCGATAACGTCACATGTAGCATGCAAAGGGAGAGGAAGTTGAGGGCTTGTAATAATGTTTGAAGTAGCAATATTCCTCACATGTTTTATTGCATGGTGTACTTTAACTTAGAGTAGTAACTGTGGTAATCTGTTTTTTTTTTTGTTTTTGCAAGTTCTGGCTGATTTCGTTTTGACCATCTTCCTTATGTTAGTAGTGAATGAATAAAGGAAACGCACCAGACACATAGCAATGTATTTTGGCAGCGTAAATTTGATGTTGGTTATGTATTTATTATATCAAGTATATTATTATTATTATTACATCGTGTTTCGTCTTGAATATAAATTCGGTGCAATTTAGTTATACCATTGAATACATTATGGTGTATTTAAATATTGAGCATTATATTGAACTCGTTTACTGCACGGTTGACGTAGACAACAGATATCGGACTTACCCGCGTTCTCTCAATCTAATTTCAACACACATGAGATGAATGTCTATCGACAATAAATAGAATATGAACGTGGGAGAAGCTTTGTAACATGAGATAGAGATGTTCGGGTTCCGGCAAGAGATATGAAATAATTTATACAATAATGAATGATCAATCAAAAATCAAATTCACAAATACAATTATACTTCAATCACTAAAAACACTAAGTTAATCATAAAGAGAGTAGATATATGATGTCTTGTCATATATTTTTCATTACCCTCATTTGTGCCATTGAGAGGATATTTATAATGTTACATGTGCAATAACAACTCTCAGATGGGCGGACATGTGGCTTCATCTCCTTTATCGAAGCATCACATTTTAGATATCAATTTGACTCCACTAACTTGGAGCGCATTAAATACCCCAA